AAATACACTCACCTAAAGGATTATTAGGAACACCATACTAATACTGTGTTTGACCCCCTTTTGCCTATAGAACTGCCTTACTTCTACGTGCCATTAAGCATTCTTTAGAAATGTTGGATCATATTGATAGGATAGCATCTTGCAGTTGATGGAGATTTGTGGGATGCACATCTCCCGTTCCACCACATCCCAAAGATGCACAATTGGGTTGAGATCTGGTGACTGTGGGGTCCATTTTACTACAGTGAACTCATTGTCATGTTCAAGAAACCAATTTGAAATGATTCAAGCTTTGTGACATGGTGCATTATCCTGCTGGAAGTAGCCATCAGAGGATGGGTACATGGTGGTCATAAAGGGATGGACATGGTCAGAAACAATGCTCAGGTTGGCTGTGCATTTAAACGATGCCCAATTGGCATTAAGGGGCCTAAGGTGTACCAAGAAAACATCTCCCACACCATAACACCACCCCCAGCAGCCTGCAGAGTGGTAACAAGACATGATGGATCCATGTTCTCATTCTGTTTACACCAAATTCTGACTCTACCATCTGAATGTCTCAACAGAAATCGAGACTCATCAGACCAGGCAACATTTTTCCATTCTTCAACTGTCTAATTTTGGTGAGCTCTTGCAAATTGTAGCCTCTTTTTCCTATTTATAATGGAGATGAGTGGTACCCGGTTCTGCTGTTGTAGCCCATCCAAATCAAGGTTGCGTGTGTTGTGGCTTCACAAATGCTTTACTGCATACCTCAGTTGTAACGAGTGGTTATTTCAGTCAAAGTTGTTTTTCTATCAGTTTCAATCTGTCGACCCATTCTCCTCTGAATTCTAGCATCAAAAAGGCATTTTTCGCCCATAGAACTGCCGCATACTGGATGTTTTTCCCTTTTCACACCATTCTTTGTAAAACCTATAAATGGTTGTGCGTGAAAATCCCAGTAACTGAGCAGATTGTGAAATACTCAGACCGGCCGTCTGGCACCAACCATGCAATGCTCAAAATTGCTTAAATCACTTTTCTTTCCCATTCTGACATTTAGTTTGGAGTTCAGGAGACTGTCTTGACCAGGACCACACCCCTAAAAGCATTGAAGCAACTGCCATGTGATTGGTTGATTAGATAATTGCATTAATGAGAAATTGAACAGGTGTTCCTAATAATCCTTTAGGTGAATGTTTTATTACTTAAAAAGTCGTATTGCTTTAACTTAATTCTCATAATAAGAGGAGTTTACCAAACAGACTTTCGCAGCCACATTCATATGCATTTAAAGGTTTTCAAACAGCCATTCAATTCATATTCGCTATTGATGTTTATCAAAAAGCCAGGTCCAGATTCTTGCTCAGCTATTTACTGTCGCTTAAAAAAAAAAAAAAAAAAAAAAATACTGTTTGTAACAACAGTATCTCCAGAGACATGGCTAAAAGTGTGATGAACAGATAGGACAATGGAAAAAAGATTCTACCAACTCTCTTAAATATACAGTATATATATATATATATATATATATATATATATATACAGGGGTTAAAGTGGGCCGGAACGGTCCGGAACTGCGTTCCGGCACCTCAGATAAATAAATAAATAAATAGATTCATTAATCTCAATGAATCTTGCTTCTCCCGATATGGACCAACTTCCCTTCCTCCCCGCTGAACGCGAGCAAATAAACACATAAAGTATAAACTATATAAAGTATAAACTGTATAAAGTATAAACTATATAAAGTATAAACGCCTCGTCCGTTTGGAGAGGTGCGCGCGGAGCCTCGCGCTCATGCGGACGCGTCGAGTGTATACACAAGGCTTTACAAATGCTTGAAATGCACAAATGCTTGAAATGCATTAACTTGTTTAAGATAATGATTCATAAAACATATAATTATCAGTTAAGCCTATTTACTTCACTGACACAGACGAAAATAAAATACTATCAGTCAAAGTTCAGGGGGTTTAGGAGTTTATGAGGGGAAGAAATAGGGCAGGATATGGAGACTGAGAAAAAGAAAGATGTAGATGAGAAGAGAGCAGGCTATTGACAAAATAATCGAATGCCCACTGAAATGGTTTTAAAGCTATTTATTATCTTCTTTATTGGCCTTTAAAAGTCTTAAATTGCACATAATTTGGTCAGAGAAATCAAAATTTTCTTGGGGGTGGCCCCGAACCCCAATTTTTGTCCCAGTGTTAAGCAATTTTAACATAGTATTGTCATTAAATCAGTGTAGATGGGCCAAATTAAACCATTAAAATATCAAGTAAATAAGTGACAGGCTACTTGGTGTCACAGCGACACCCCAAAAGTATTGCTATACCACGATACTCAATATGTTGTCCCACGGTGAGTCATTTTTCTCTGTTGCACCTACACAAAATTTGAGAGTTCCCCCACCTGACAAATCCCACTTTAACCTCTGTATATCATTATAGTTGTGGTGTGAAAATTTAGAACGATTTTTAAAACTATATCTTTATCACTATAGTTATCGTCCTTGGTGTGAACAGGCCTTAACTGATGTTAATCGCACTGAATTTTCTCTATAAACTTCGTCTTGGTGTAAACAGTCTGGTTAGGTGGGAACATTATTCTACTGGTTTAATAGAATAGAGATACAGTATAGAGGGTCTGCTTTTGTATGTGTGGAGAAGTCCGATATTAGAAAAAAAAAAACTCCTTGTGGCTGCCTTTACGGCATGACTATTAAAGACTTTTAAAGATTTGCTTAAGGAGACAATTCTGCCTCCCACTGTCATGTCATGCCACTATGGTCTGAGTATGTGGGGTCGAGAAAAACCAGAGGGTCAGAAAGAAAAAATACTGTGACTGTGTGTCTGAGAATGTCACAGCAGATGAAGGGCCCTATTTTAATGATCTGAAACACAAGAATCAAGCACGAAGCACAAGTAACTTTGTGGGCGGGTCTTGGCCGCTGTTGCTAATTTACCGGCGGGATAAATGACTCTTGTGCCCTAAAAAAAATGTTTAAAAGGGGTGGTCTGAAATAGCTTCATTGTTCATAGGTGTGGTTTGGGCGTAACGTAAAATGTCAATGTCAATGTCAAGTTTATTTGTATAGCACTACTAACTACAACACCAGTTGTCCAGAGTGCTTCACATCAAATACAAAAGACACATGAACAGAGAGAAAAAAAACAAAAAAAAAAAAACAGCATACAATATATTACATCATTAGTCATATGCTAAATCAAAAAGATAGGTTTTTAATCTTGATTTAAAAACAGGCAAGGAAGGAGCTAATCTAATATTAAAAGGTAGCGCATTCCACAGTTTTGGCGCAGTTTTTTTTTTTACTGATAACAGCCATAGTGCCTTATTATTATAATAACTGAGTAGTTTATCGATTAATATTAAGAACTTGACATAAAATCAATTATAGGGGGAAATATTGCACGACCGGTGCTGTTTGAATGGGCATATGATTCTTCTGTGCTCCATGGCGTTTACATGAGCCCCTTTTGTTTGATTTAAGAATAAGTCAAAATTGATGACTTGTGATTAATCAGTAGCTATCTAAGAGCAGCATCCATGTTATATGGGTTGCGTTTTAAACATTTGAATTGTCACCTGTTATGCCTACAAAATGAGGAAACGCGAATGTAAACCGCTGAGTCACATTTCAAACTGATCAATATGCTTGCGTAGGAGTTTGTGAAATGTGCGCTGGTTTCTCTCCGCGTTCTGCGCTGGTGTGCGAGTCTCATCGACAATAAAACCAAGCCAAACGCAAGCTATCAGCCCTATCCACCGCATGTTATTAATAGTGGATATACTTTCACGCGCTTTCATGTCCATTGTCCAAGTACCTCCTATCAGACCCGTTGAAGACAGTTTCTGTTCATGTGTGCTATGTTAGTTAACCCTATTTAGCCTACACTACATAGGCTACAGTTAAAGGCTATAAAGGCTACCTTTAGGGTGATACAAATGACTTAAAATGTGATATTGCCTGCACAGCTCTTGCGTTTCGTTTGGTCAAACACCACAAGGTGTCACTGTGGCCTCAAAGCTTCAGCACTGCCACTCTGAGGTCGATTGCTTATGTCTGTGTTACATACGGAGAAAGAAATGTTGGAATAAATAAATGTGGAAATAATTAAATGTGGAAATAAATAAATGTGAAAATAAATTAATGTAGACATAAAAACATAAATACATAAATGAATGTGGAAATAAATAAAAGTGGAAATAAATAAATGAATAAATGTATAAATAAATAAATAAAAGTGTGAAAAAATACAATTATACATAAATAATGGAAATAAAAGTATAAATACTCATTTATTTGTACTTTTTTACATTTCTTAGTATATTTATTTATATATTTATTTTTGTATTTTTGCTTGTTTACATTTCATCATTTATTTATTTATGTATATATTTATTTTTAATTAAGTCAGCTTTGGCATTCCATAAATAAGCGAAAAAAAAAAAAAAAAAAAAAGTAATTTTACTACCAGTATCTAATTCTGGAATTGGAATTGATTTAACGATAACCAACCCTAGTTGGCGCTTGTATTTGCTGATTGAACATATTCATTTAGCATTCGTTATATGTGAAAAATAACGAACCATGGAACGAGTCCATGGAAAAACTTCATCAAATGGGTGGTAGCAAATGTCAGAAAAAATGTCAAAAGGGAGACGTTACAGCTGTTTATATATTCTTGAGTAATAATTGAAAGGATTAGATTAACTAGCTCTTCCAAAACATCGTTTTATAATTCAATTAAATATTTATGGATAAAATCAGTGGAATGTAGTCGTTTTTTTTTATTACATATAAAAAAGAGCTTCAGATACAGCTTCAATCAACAAACCACTGTTAAGCAACCCAAAGAGACGGGCTCAAGGGCTCAAAACACAATAGGTTCAAGTCCTCTCAACACTTACATTCAAGTCACATTTACATTCAGCAATAGCTGTGAATCTGGCAGGACTGGTACTGCCCGGAGGACTGCCCTGGCACTCACCTCTGGAGCGATGTAGTCTGGTGTTCCACAAAATGTACGGGTGGACACACCCTCCACAATGTTCTCCTTGCACATACCAAAGTCTGCAATCTTAATATGACCCTCTGCATCCAGCATGACGTTATCTAATTTCAGATCCCTGAAAGAGATAAAAATAACACGGCAGTACATTAACATAGAGAGGGTGTTACTGAAAATGGGAGAAAGGGGATACAGACAAAAAACACTGATGTTTGTCTTGCTGTCTATAAAAAAAAAAAAATCTCCCCCAGCACATGAGCACAATTCAAATTTAGTTCATTTTAAATTCATGTAAAAGCAATTTTACTGTGGGGGTTTCTGAAGGACTCTGTCTCTTTCATTCCGGCTGACGTCAGTTCATGTGTTCGCTCTATTTCCCTAGGCCAATTTGATTGCTCAAAGAAAAACAAACCAAATAACTAGGTTTAGCACCTAAAGAGAGTCAGAATTAAGTGAAATCCTGGTTGAAGGTTTGAGCTAAATAGAAATTTGTTTTTATGTTATTTGAACTGAGTCAAGGCAATATTTGGCACAATTCACAAATACGGTATGATGGCCTTTTTCTTTTTTTTTTCTTTTTTAATAAATCATAGAGACAAAAATGACCTTTATACTGTATCTAACAACTAAAATCACACACTGTTCAGTTCATTGCTGTAAAAATATACTTTTTAATTATTATCTAACCCACATTTTACACATTTAAATCATCATTTCATTTTCATTAAAATTGCGATCTCCCCAAAATGACATTATTTGGAATCTTTCCACAGCATTTTGGGAAGACAGGTAAATTGTAAAAGATCTGTCCCTTACTGACATTACATTATACATTTTGTCTGTTAAATTTTTGCTACCCTTATTCGATATTTACTGCTAGCAAATAGCAAAATCAGGGTTTTAAGGCTAAGGACCTCACTGACCATTTGACAGACAAACATATAAAAGCTTCAGGCCTTTTTTTTACCCCTGTCGAATAAATGACAATTATTGGCTTAAAAATGACTGCAGCCAATCTGCCGATTACAGCCAATTAGCTTACATTTTGAAACTATTGACTGAAATATCTGAATGTGGATTTGAATGTGCATTGTATGTGTTCACCTGTATATGATTCCTTTCTTGTGCAAGAAAAAAAGCCCAACAGCAATCTCTGCAGCATAGAACCTGCAACAACAAGCAACATAGTTTACTTCAATTCGCCTTAACAAACACACTTATCTGCTCAAACCAAGAATTTCAGATATGGTATGCACATGTATAAATACAATAAGAGAGTTGCTTACACTGCCTGTGGCTCCTTAAATTTGCCTACTTGCTGGATGTGGTACATAAGATCGCCACCATTAACATACTCCATCACGAAATACAGACGGTCCTATGACAAAATCACATCAAAATCAACTACATATATGACCATTTGAGCTTATAAAACTTTGTAATTGTTATTATTATTATTTTTTTTAAATAAGCGATCGTTTCACTTGGTAAGACCAGTTTTCATCGTCTGGAATCGTTTAAAGCCCTTTTGAACAGTTTGCAGTTTGCACTGAAACTGTGTTTTGGACCTTGAACCGTTTGGTTCCTAGTAAAGTGCATTCTATGGAGAAAAGTCCTGGAATGTTTTTCTTCAAAAACCTTAATTTTTTTTCGACTGAAGAAAGAATGACATGGATATCTTGGATGACATGGGGGTGAGTAAATTATCAGCAAAAGTTTCTTCAAAAGTGAACTATTCCTTTAAGCTTTTTTTTTTTTTTTCTTTTACAGTAAGTATTGTAACCAAGTATTACATTCACAAATTGGGAATACCACAAAAAAGTTTTTTGTGATGATGGTGTTGTTACATTTAAAATATGAAAAAATAAATAAATAAATAAATAAAATAAAACAGTAGAAAACAAAACAAAACTATAGATTTCTAAAAAGTTCAATTGCTATTTAAAATTTATGTTTACATAAATCCCCTTTTGTATTTTTAATACACAGTATGTAGCATTCTGTATTATGCATTTGCTCCACATCTTTACATTTCGTACTCATGAAAATATAAAATCCCCCACAAAAATCCTGCGCAGCTTTGTAGAGAGTTTCAAAATACTAAGACTATATTTATTAAGTAAAGTAATGTACATGTGTGTTCGTTCCTGTTGGTTGTTTTTAAAATAGACTTATTTTTTAATCATTCTGTTCTATATATTAAACCTTGCAAACCGAATATATATATATATATATATATATATATATATGAAGAGTTCAGATGCAAGAGCCTCTAAGTGCCATTTGAAATTTTCTTCTAGAATGATCATTTTTAGCAAGCTTGTACATTTAAGTTCAGTGATTTCACTTAAATGGCAATGATAATTACCTATTAATTGTTATTTAAGTGAAATTACTGAACTTAAATATACAAGTTTGACAAAAATCATCATTAAAGAAGTAAATTTCAAATGGCATTTAGAGGCCATTTATATATATATACGTATATAACATAGAAAATATAAAATCCACAACAAATACCCTTTACAGCTTTGTAGAGAGTTTCAAAATACCACAATATGCACCAAATATTCCACCAAATGCATAAATAATAATTCAAGGAAGAGATTCACACCACAGTCTGAAAGCAGGAGTGCAGATAGGTGAGGAATGGAGGTTTGTCCTGCTGAGCTAGAACTCGTTTTTCCACCATGGTGCATTCGACATCATCATCCTGGATGACCACATCCTTCTTCAGGATCTTTATAGCATATAGTTCATCAGAAGACTTCATCTCAGCAAGTATCACCTGAGTATGGAGATATCAAAAGCTCAAACTGTGAGTGAGGGTCATTAGAAAGAAACCAAACCATTGAAACCAAACCATTTTCACAAAATACTAAAAATAAAAATCTTTGTCATGAGCCATTTTGAAAACATTTTCAGAAAGGGTAGGCCATGAAATGCAACACCTAAAATCAAACAGAATAAAAATGACTAAATAAATATGCAGGTATACAGTTAATATGGATAAATATATATTGGTAATGAAAAAAAAATCATAGGAAAATAGAAAAAAAGCATCTGTGCATCATAAAAAAAAAACAAAAAAAACAACAACAACAATTAAATAGCCTTATAAATAATAATATTTACCAATGACTGAATTTGCAAATAGAAAGGGAGAGTCAATCATATGGTGGTGCGTAAAGAGTGGTGTGCAATTAGTAATTAACCTAATAATGGGGAAGTGGTGGTAAACTCACCTTTCCAAAACTGCCTTTCCCCAATACTGCCAAGAAATTGAAGTCTGTGAGCTTGACTCTATCTATACTGCTGGAAGGTAAACTGGCCCCACTTTCATCGAAAGGGGAGATGGCTTTTTTGGACGGACCCAATTTGGCTTTCTGCACACAGACAAACAATAACCTTAAAAAAACAAAAACAAAAACAAAAAAACAAGCCCGTGCTAAAGGCAAAATTCAGATTCTTGAAAAATTCCCATAATGCATTTGGGATCCCATATGCAAGTGAGATGCTGGAACATGTTTTCATGTTTTCTGTAATTTATAAGGTGTGAATAGACCTTAGTCTTGGTAGAATCCATTTAAAAAATGCATCAATTTTCTTTTCTTTTCTTTTTTTTTTTTGTCTGTTTAATGGGTTGATTTAATTATGTCTAAGTTTCATATCATGTTCATTAGAGTTGGCCACCAGGAATTGTTTTCTAAAAACACATTTTCAATGTTCCGTTGAATAATAATAATAATGATAATAATAATAATAATAATAATAAAACATTCCAACCCATTGAACAGATTTAATGGCTAAGATTTTTTGTAAAAAAATAAAATAAAAAAAATTGTGTCTGTCTACCCTGACTAAGGCCCATTAAGCTTTAAGAGATGCAGTCCAATAAAGCATAATCCACTCTTAGCAGCAGCATCTTCCTACCTATGTCCTATAACACAATCCATACACGACAAGGCTCATTCAAAATCTGCCTTCCTCGTTAATTCTGGTAGTGTCCATGCGGTTTCCTAAGGCAGATGAAATTCTTTCCATAAAAGCATGCAGAAGTCAGAGAGCAGGCTAAATTTCTCTTCCAAGCCGCCGGACTTTCTTTTTTATTTATTTATTTTTTTACAAATTACTATTTACAAACTAAATATATGCCTGTTTCTTCTTTTTTTTGTCTGAACCTTCCAACTTAATGTTTTTAATTCTAGTGTTTTGACAGTGCCAGTAATACAATGCGACAGTCATATATTTTGTGAAGATCTTTGAGAAATAGCCACTCACTGGACTTAGTCCAGTTTAGGGCATAGCTGTGGTGACATGTGAGTCATCTAAACAAAATAAGCTCTAAAGTTTGGTTGTGAGGAAGTTGTAGCCAGCCATGAGTCCAATGAGATTGTGGTGAATATACGGACAACATCTGTAAAGCAAGTTTGTAACGGCTACAGAGAAACCCTTGAAACAGCTATAGGATGTTGAGTTGACTTGGAGGTTAGAAATTATATAATACAAATGTCAGCGTATCAGGTGCCTTGGAGTGTATTGAATTGCTTAGGTTGTGTATAGAAGCACTTAAGGGCACTCAGTAGACCCTGAGGCACAAGGTGGCGATATTCATGACAAAGCAAGTTTTATGAAGCAGTGGATTTGTCCCAACATTAGATCAAGATTGTAAGAAGGTAGCTGCTGTCAGAGGAAAGGTGCTTATTAAGGCAGCCAACACAGTGATAGTGCTAACCTTGAACTCCAGCTGCATTTTTTTTACACCTTACATCTTCACATTCTTCACTATTTCATCCTAGATAACCTTTGTGAATTTTAAGACGTGGTTGCTCTCTATATTGTCAAAAAATGCATGTTCATTAAAACATTTTGGACACTGGATGCTGGAAGATGTGTGAAAGTCTGAAGGGCTTGTTTAACCATCTAATGGTCTTTGGTCATTTTAAGCCCAAATTTTTTAATTTTCTAAATTTCAATGAATGGTACAAAACTTAGTTACACTTGTGATATTTAAAAAAATAGTTACACTTAGTAACACCTAGTAAAACAAAACATTATTTTGGGTAAAATCTACAAATCAACCAAAATTTAGTAGACTTTGATAATTCAGCAAAACTCATATGTAACCCTAGTTTCCCTTAAGAGGGAACAAAACACTACATCTAAATGCTGCGGGAATGCCCCTGCTTGATCGCGTCATGAAGCATTTCGACATAGTGTTTTGTTTAGTAGACTTTGATAATTCAACAAAACTCTGCAAACAGAATGTCTCGGTTGAAAAAAGTCGATCACGGGCATGCCTAGAGTATGGCAGGGCGACGCAACGTCTCGTTTCCTCTTCAGGGAACCAGGGTTACATACATAACTGAGATGTTCCCTTTCAAGAGAACTCGAGCTGCGTCAAAATGCTGGGGGAACGCTAATACACACATCGCCATAAGAGCAAATATTGTGAGTGAAGAGCACACATTCGGACCAAAGCACCTGCGCCCCTGGAATCTTAAGTCAAGATCGTATAACCTCACGAATGTGTGTGGTGAGTAGGGTTTGGTATCGTTTGAATTTGAACGATTCTGATTCCGATTCCGATTCCTTGTTTCGATTCCGGTTCCTAAAGATTTTCGATTCCGATTCTTTTAAGAGGCAGGGTCAAAAAAGTTTAGCTAACCTTGCTAACCAACAGTCTTTCTGAAGGAAATACTCCTTCTGTCACAAATTTAGCATTTTTCCGAGATTTCGTTATTTTTAGAAAATGTGAAGCCACACTTTGGACCGCCGACGTAAGCTATTCATGTTCGACTCGCGCGGTTATGCCAACACTTCCGGTAGACGCTTCTTCGTTGGTGTTGTTCAGCGGTTTCTTCTTCCGGTTGGCGGACTGTGAATATCGAAACTAGGAATCGAAATTTTGAACGATTCCGGGAAAAACGAAAAGTTAGTCCCGGTTCCAATCGATACTCGATTCTCAATACCCAACCCTAGTGGTGAGGACCAGCCTGCCACATCACAAACATCATGTAGGGAAACTCCTGACAATAAAGCTTTCGAAATACTCCAATCAAGTGACCCCGTACAGCCAAAGGTGAATGCTGACCAGTCAACTCGAAAGCAAGTGAGATTGTGGGTGACCCAAAACATACGAACAGTTGTTCAGATTTCCTCCGCACTGCAGCACTATGGACATAAGCATCTTTAGGGCCCTAACCTGGCAGGGCAAATTTAGTTTATCTTCATCTGACATCAAAAAGGAGAACGACAGAAAGCCTGAAGTACTATTGGTCTAAGAATATTAGAAGGGACCTTAGGAACATAGCCTGGCCAAGAATGAAGAAAGGCCTTAACCATGCCAGGCCAGAATTCCAGGTATGAGGGAGAAACCAAGAGTGCTTGAATGTCTCTAATTATTTTGAAAGATGAAATAACAAGAAGAAATATAGTTTTTGGGCGAATGAATTTCTCAGAAACATCTTCAATGGGCTCGAATGGAGCTAGGAAGAGGCCATCTAATACAGGGGTTGGACAATGAAACTGAAACACCTGGTTTTACGACACAATAATTTGTTAGTATGGTGAGGGCCTCATTTTCCATCCAAATACAGCACCAATTTATCTTGGGAATGACAGATAGAAGTCCTTCACACTGACCAGAGGGATTATGAGCCGTTCCTCTTCCAGAACAGTGTCCAGGTCACTATATGATGCTGGTGGACTCGCTCCTCCAAAACACCTCAATAATATTTAGATCTGGTGACTGTGCATGTTCAACGTCACTTTCATCTTCATCAAACCCTTCTGTCACAAGTCTTGCTGTGTGTGTTGGTGCATGATCATGCTGATACATGGTTTGAGCATCAGGTGCTCATGATCCTCCAGAAGGGTTTGGTAGTCCTCGGCCGTGTCGTGTCCATCAAATACAATCAGGATTGTCATGATATTGGAGCTCAAACCATCACTGATCCACCCGTGCTTCACTCTGAAGATTGGCCGCCAGGCATATAGATGTGAAACTTCCAACATTGGCCAGTGTTTCAGTTTCATTGTCCAACCCCTGTACAACAGCCAAATCCCATGTCGGCACCCACGAGCGGACTGCTGGCCTTAGCCTCAAAGTGCCACGAAGAAAATGTGTTATTAATGGGTGTCTCCCCAGAGAAACTCCACTCAAACGGACGTGGTAGCAGCTAGTGCCGCCACATACACCTTCAGTGTGGAGGGGGATAACCCTGCGGAGAAGCGCTCCTGCAGGATTTCCAGCACTGCACCCACCGGGCAATTAAACAGTTCCAACAGGTGCTCTCCACACCAGAAGTGAATAATTTCCACTTCAAGGCATATAACTTCCTTGTGGCTGGAACTCTGGAGTGGAACATGGTCTCCACAACCTCGGTTAAGAGACCTGAACTTATGAGCTGGGCCCCTTCAGTGGCCAAGCCCACAGTTTCCACAGTTCTGGGTGGGGGTGAAGGATCACCCCACTTGCCTGAGAGACTAGGTCCCTCCTGATTGGAATCTCCAGAGGAGAGCCGTCGAGGAGAGACACTAGGTCCGCAAACCATACTCTGGCCAGGCAGAACGGGGCTGACAACAGTAGACGGACCCCGTCCCGGCGAACCCTTTCCAGGGAGCAGAGCAATCCGGGGAAATGCGAACAGACGTGACTTCGGCCACACCTGCACTATAGTGTCCAACCACATAGTGGTTGGATGATTGAGAGAGAACCACAGTGGATATTGTGATGTCTCCTTGGAAGCGAACAGGTCTACCTCGGCACGACTGAAACTCTTCCTTCCTTCTTTGGCACTCAGTGAAGGCGGTCGCATTTTCTCTCCCTCCTCTTACCTCCTTCTGCTTCGCTTCTCTCATCACGTCTAGTCTACTGTCTTGTACTTTGAGAGACTCTCTCAGCACTGCTCTCCAAACTAAGAAATTATAGATTTGATCAACTGGTCTCTCAACGCAATTGACACCATCTTCTCGATGAGAAGCTTGGGTTCAGGGGAACCTGACTGCCCTGCCGGAACGTTCGCAGCTGTCTACACGATGAACGCGTGGGATAAGTGCAGTCAGGCAGCAGTGGCTCAGTGGTACATGTAGGGTGTCTACAAACCGAAAGTTTGGTGGTTCAATCCCCAGTTCCACCTGACCAAGTGTCGAGGTCTCCATGAGCAAGACACCTAACCCCAGCTGCTCCCGACGAGCTGGATGGCACCCTGCATGGCTGACACCGCCGACGGTGTATGAATGGGTGAATGTGAGGCAAATGTAAAGCGCTTTGGTGGCCATTGGGCCGTTTACCATTTAAGTGCTTCCTAGATCGCATCACATAAAGTTGTGCGATTCAGAGCTGCTTTATAGTTTCCTGGTCGATGACATCACCCGCCTATGA